GAAACTAACCCCGCATTCTTCCTTGTCTCATGCCCTTATAACAGGCTCCAGGTTACAGTCCCCATTTCCAGCAAAGAAGTCTTCAGAGGCATTCTTGGGGAAAAAAATGTAACTTGTGTGTTAGTGATGTGCACAAATAAAAGAAGAAAAAAAACCCAACCAACCTTTGTGGCTGTGGGTTTTGATCCTCTTTGCTTCACTTAATTATTTGTAGGGTTTATTTCAGGGATGTTAGGGATTTGGCCATTGGATGGCTGTAAAGGGCTTATTTATGGGTGCCCAAAATGTAATGAAAAGTTTTATGTTTCAAAAATGTATTTTTACAGCACAGTTGCTAACCTTCTATGTCACCTAGCCAGCTTGGGTTATGCTATCACATGCACGCACAAACACTGGTGCAGGTGGAGGCATAAGATAGGAGTGAGATCTGTATGCTCATATACCTGTGGATGAGACTGAGCTCTGTGGCCATCATGCCAGAGCCTCGAACTGAACGACTTCAGTTCAAACTTCTGTTCTAGGAAAGTTTTGACCCAGGAGGGAATTATATGGACTCAGCGTTTGGTACCTTCTGTGTTTAGACATGGGGCTTGGGTGACAGACTTGGAGACCTTCAGGTGCCATGATTGATTAGAGTTAGTGAGACTGTAAAAGCACTTTGCGTTTGATTAATGGCTTCCCAGGCACTCAGCATCTTCAATAGTGACATAATTATTTTTTTAATGGGTGTTCATAGTGATTACTGTTATGCTGCAGGTTTTTTATTAATCATTAGGAAGCTGGCTATCCAGGCAACTGGAATTAAATAATTTGTCTGAGAATTCATTATAATCAAAGGGGCAGGCAATTAATGACTAATTAAATCCACTGAGATGCTGTGGGAAAGGAGTGTTAATCTTGTTGCTCATCTATGGTGGAAAGTGGACAGATACAGAGCTGTTCGATGTTAATTTGGAAAAGATGACATTTCTATAACATAATAGGTTACTTAAGCACATCAGTGGTGAACTTACTACAGCTATTCACTTCCCCAGGCACAATAAACTGAAAGAACCCTTTGGATTCTTTCCCTTTCCCCAGTCTGGATTAATTATGATGACTGAGGACTTTGAAAGGTTGCAGCTTCCTTTGAGTTAGGAAAAGCATCCAGAAGATGGATCGACTGGTTTAGTTGGTTGGAAAGCCTCTGGAGTGTACGCTGGCTGAAATACGTAGTTAGATAGGCTCACTCACACACCAGAAAAAACAGGAGCTGGAAGAGCACAGCATTGGGATTATTTATGGTACTGGGACAGGACACATTGTGGAACTCAGACCCAGATAATTAGGAAACACAATAATACTCCTTCAGAAATTTTTATGATCTTCTTTTATCCAGGATATAGTTAGTCAAAAAGGAAATTGTCATCCTGATCTTTTTTTTACCTAGTTCTAGTGGCTTTTCAGAAAACAAATGCTTCATCTGTTATAGTTGCTATATGTGCAACTTTCCTTTTGGCTAGTATCTGTTAGATATTCCAGTCATTCCAGTTCATAGTGAGCCAGTGTGTACATTGCGGTTGACATTGTTACAACAGAAAAGCCAGGAATGAATCCGAGGAGACTAAAAACTGCTCTTGCCTGGAGTCAGTTCCTGCTGGTGAGGAGAGAGGAATTTTGAAGTTCTTTGCCCAGAGGCTCTCCTGATTCTTATAGAACGTTACAGTAGGACCACAGTCATACCAACCAGATCCCCAGCATGCTGAAATCAATACAGCTACCTTGATTTAATCAAACTGAAGCGGACTATCTAATGTAAAATATGGATCCCCAGTGAAACATACTCTGTTGAGTTGCTCATACCTGGACATTAGCAAGTTTCATAGAAAACAGTTCTTTCAGACTCCTCTTTAATTACTCCATGTACTTATAAAACTTACCTAGACAGAAGCCAGAGTAATGAGAAATGCCATGGTAAATCCCAGTATGGCCCAGGGAAGTTCATAATATTGTCCCTAAAATTTCAGGGAAGAGAATTTGACTTTTTGGCAATAGGTTTCATGATCACTAGATCCTGACAGAGGAAGATACTCAACCTATCCCATCCTGGGTCAGGGCTGGATAGAAACAGCTTGGCGTCTTTCAATGAGCTGTGTGACCTTGGAGGTTTCTTTTTATCAAGCCCCTGCTTCCTTTCACAGCACATTTGGCCACATCACATACAGGGGGGTAGGAGGCCAGGAAATGGTCTCTGAGTGGAAAAATCTAGCTGCCATTTCGATTAACTCACCCAGCAGAATCACCTTCTCAGTGATTGTTAGAGCAGCTGCATTTTTATTCTGATGAATTGGCTTCTACGGGCAGACAGAGAATGTTTTTAATATATCTTTGAAAAAACATTAGTTTTAATAATAACTCACTGTTTGCATAGTAGTGTGTGAAAAAATATATTCACAGCATGGATCTGGCCAGACTGGTCAGACACTAAAGCTTTCCTTCACACTAGATCTTGGACTGAAGCAGAGCTCAGTGCGAACCTGCTGGAAGAACAACTCCTGGTGTGATGGCCTTAGTCTGACAAGATGCAACCAGGGCTTTAACACCAGCTCTGCTGCGACTAGATGCTTGGGCTTTGTATGTGGTTATGAGCTGCCTGACCCTTCATGAGATCACCAAAAGCCCCTTCTGGGACTTGTTTTTTTCCTCAGGTTGCAGTGTTAGCATATCCATAACATGTGGTAGATTCTGGCTTAAATCAAAGTTCGTTGTTTTCCTAGTAATGCTATTTTCTAGTAAGTCTTGTGGTCTGGACTACTGACCAGACCACACTAGATCATATCATATCAATATGGCCCCTCCTGGATTCAAAGTCAGTGAATCTAAGTATATTCAGCTACAAAGTCTCCGTTCAAGTATTTTTAATGATGAATTTAAAAACAATACCCGATTTGAGGTACTTACTGGAAAAAAACAGCATGTGTAGGCTGGCTAGCAATAAGAGAGAATGCTACAATCCCCTAGCCTTACCTTCATACAAAAAAAAAAGAAAGGAAGGTCAGATAAGGACAGTTAGTATTTTTATAAGGCAGGAAGCTTTGCAGTCTCCTAGCCTGCAGCTGCTGCACCAAAACGAGTCACCAGGAGCTTTCAAACCTCAGAATTTAATGTGGCCTCTCTACTGGCCTGTTGTTTTGATTGTTTACTTGGTTTTCACTCTCACCCCTTTTTTCCTCATCTTGTGCAATAAAAACTCCATGCACTTCATGGCTTATTGGGATGCAGAAAGATGTTGGAAGAGGCACTCACAGAACTAGTTTCTAAGCAATTGTATATGAATGCCCAGTTTCTGCTCTCGTCACAAACTGGGATGCGCTTATGTTTCTAATTGTTCACTTATTTTCATAGAAAAACTGAGATTCAAATACTTTGCCCATGAAAACCTGAATAGCAGATATGGGAAATTCAACAGTAAGAGCCCAACCTGACCCTGATGGAGGGACACACAGAGTCATCTCCTTACAGGGAATACAGAGGAGAATTAAACCTTTAACAGTTCTGCAGGACCATCCTCAGGCTGGTCCTGAATGCTGTACTAATGCCTTTCAATTACTTGTACTTTTAGCAATACTGAAGAAGCAGGTGCTGAAATCACACCCTTTTAATTTTATTGAATGAAGGCTGCTGCTTTTGAACACCAGATACTGCTATGAAGATAAACCATCTAGTTACAGTGCCCTAGCTCCTGGCAAATGCAGCCAGAATCTGTGGGTTAGGAACCTGCCTCATGCCACTGAGCAGCAAAGCATTAGTTATACCTGTGCACAGCATCAGCTTTCCTGCCTTGTTGTGTTGTGCATTGCCTTGCACCCCATTGCCACAGTTTGCATTCAGACCTCCACAAAGCCGAGGCAGCTTTAAATGCCTGAGCTTCTCTAGCCACTGCCTGTGAAGAGGGGATGTGTCTGGCAGCAGCAGGCAGGGGAAATGGCAGTGGCTGGTAGGAACCTGGAAAGGGCCAGGGCACCACAGGGGCCAAAGCCTCTCAAGTGTATCCAGGTGCCAGCAAAGGCTCCTTTACAAGTCTGAAGTAAAGAAGATGGAAAAAGAGGAAAAAAAGCCTGTAGGAATCAGGCTTTGACCTGGAAACATTTCAGCATCCAGAGCTCTGGATGAAGGAGACTTTAAGCAATGTTTTCCGCACAAAATATTTGCTGTCTGCTGTTGGGATGATTTTCTAATGCCCGGGGATCTAATACAGATTATCAGTGCAGTTTCAGATGGAGGCCTTATTCCTCACTTCCAAGTCAAAGCTGGGGAAACATTTTGCTATGCACTCTTAAACAGGTGCCCTATTATGTACCAGAGTTGGCTACATTTTAATATAGAGGAAATTACTCCTGTGCCCACATAATTTATAAATCACTTCAGGATCAAAACCATTTCTAAGATGAGGGAAAAAGGTCTCAGTTAGGTTTCATAGGGAAAATGGTTTGTTCCATAGCTTAAATTTATAGCTTCTTCCTCTCTTTAAATTAAGATTTGGAGACAAGTGTTGCAAATTTTAGCACAAGACATGTAGACGTTGATGTTTTTCATGTCAAGCTGTTGGACCTAATGAAGTGATGGGAGAATCTCATCCTTCATTTTTAAAAATTATGTTTCTGGTTAAGAAACACTATAAAAATGAGACCAACTACACCCAGAAAAGCAGGAAAAAAAGGCAAGGTAAATAAAAAGATACCAAACTCATTGTAAGCATAAGGGTCTGATGGCTTGATCAGGTGAAATGATCAATTTTGGGTTGACAGCATTGTGGAATTCAGCTGAAAATGTGTATGAATTAATAGATGGAAGAAAACATACGCTATGATCTCCTTGCTATACTGAGCACACTCTATCATTATTGATGGCATATCTGATAGTTCCTAGAAAGCACAGTTTAGGAGTCAAGAAATTGTAATGATAATTTCAGAAAAGAGACTTTAAGTGTGTTTCCCTAATTTCTGTCTTGTTTTTCACAGAATTTCTATGAAGGTATCTTGAAAGTGCTTGGAGAAAAAGATGAAAATGAACAGGAAGAAGTTAAACTCAAGCAGGGCTTAAGTGAACTCCCTGAAATTTATGAATTACACCAAGACATCCTGGGAGAACTGGAAGAAAGAGTCCTTAAATGGTAGGTATGGAATGGCATGGTTTGATGGCCTTAACATACTCTCCACAGCAGGTGGGTGAACTCATCAGTGTTCCCTTGACCCCACTAGCAGGAAGGCTGGGATTCCAGCAGAGGTGAAAGGAGCAGAACCTGAACTACTTCGAAAGATTTTGCATACAGGCAGGAAGGAGGTAAATGTACAGGCTGTCCAGCTAAGAAACCAAATACTGAAACATTTGTGCAGTGCATAGCCCATGTCTCCAAAATGGCCCCGTCAGTCAGTGTGAGGACAGCCTGCTTCATACGCATTATCCTCTGATGCCCGTTCATAGTCATCACCAAGCGGCTTCACACTCATGGCCTGAAGGTCACAGACTCATGCCATGGGAGGCAGGAGCAGCAGACATCAGAATTGATCCTAAAGAAGATCATCTGCTTACAGAAATCTACATAGCAACTGTGTAGCTCTCAGATAAGGGACGGCCCTTCGCTCCCAGCACCAAGGCAGGGCTCTGCACAGGCTAGGCTTCCAAGCCAAACAGACACTGGCAGCCTGCTGAGGGACTCCACCTAAGCCAAACATCCTCACAGGGTGAAGTCTTTCCATAAGAGAATGAGACCATGCCTAGGACAGACAAAGCTCCAAAATTCATTCAGTTAAGGAGACCTCTGACTTAAGCCAGGATGCCAGGCCCTAGTCTATCAAACTGCTGAAATAAGAATGTCTAAGAGAAATTACCAGTGCAGACCCAAGCTGACTAAACCTACAGCAACCAGCAGAGCCCCGGCCTAGACTGAATTACTCTGGCTCTGACAGCTTATGATAGACCATGCAGCCCCACACTTCCGCGCTGCTGGACTCCAGGAGGCAGTGGTCACTGGCAGTGGCTGATCCTACTCCGGCACTGCCACTGAGCAGTTAAGGAAGTCAATTACACCAGGAGAACTTTTCAGTAACAATCCTAAATGCAGGGCATAGCTCTCCTTGTCAGCCCTGCACTTTCAAGTCAAAGCACAGAACAAGGAAAGAAAAGGCTAAAGGGAGCTGTACATTGGTTCGTGTCCACCAAGGGACTGTTACGAATGGCAGAAAGACTTAAAAAATTTCATCAGTGATTTATGATCTATACACTCATAACACAAACAGAAGTGCTGTTTTCAGCTGGGATCTAAAATGACTTGTGTCCTAAAGAAGTCACAGCCCTACTCTAGCAGCATGCTGCCCGTTCCCTAAGACAAAGGGGACACAGCTGGAAATGCCCTAAGATTCTGTCCAGAAACACTCTGTGGCACCAGGGAAAAAAGAGAGCTGTACTGCAAACGCTGCCAACACAACAGAATGACACATGGCGTAGGGCTGCGCTCATACAGGTTCCCAGGTCACCACCACCCTTGAACCTTCCAGTAAGTCCTTCCCTGTGCCTGGGCTCCCCCAGGCACTGTTGCTCTGACATCCTCAGGAACTCATGTTCCTCTCTTAACTATGATTACTCTTTTGTGATCTCGGATTTTGTCCTATTCTCTCCTTGTACATGCTTCATAAATATTTCAATACTGTGCAACTGGGTGCTGAGACAGATGGTGGTGGGGCAGTGCTGAGAAGGGGGCAATGAAGGAGAGCTGAAGATATGATGTTACAACTGAAGACGTTATATTATCCCCCACAACCAGTGCTCAAAGCACTGCAGCAGCTGGAAGGTCTGTTTAGAGAAGTGGAAGCTGTGTCCAGAAAGGAGACATCCTACCCACTATGGACACATGGTGCTGCCATGGCAAAGGCAGAGCAAAAGGATCTCATGGTGCCCATTCTACAGCAGCCCATTTTGTTGTCCACTATGTCATTGAAGCACTCCCTCTGTCCTGCCATTTAACCTAGGCTTTAGCTGCACAATGTCCTTAGCCACTGTGGGTTTAATACAATGAGAAAGGTGTATGGCTCTTCTTCATTAATTTTTATTTATTTATTTATTTGCTGATTCTTTTCTTTCTGTGGCCTTAGGGAGGAACACCAGAAAGTTGCTGATGTTTTTCTCTCCAGAAAATCAAAGCTGAATCACCACACAGCATACATTATGCAGTTTGATAGGAATTTGGCTTTGCTAGATGAAACCTGCCTTAAGTATTCCCAACTGGCTACCATAATTCAGGAGTTTGAGGTAAGGCTCCCATGTTTTTTTACTTGCACTAATGCATGGTTGTGCCACAGGGCTTACTCAAAGATATTTTTTCTGCAACTCCACCAGTGTTCACATGGGGTAGAATGGGAGAATAGCTCTCTTCACATATCCTGGTGCTAAAGCTGAAGTGAGATGTTCACATGTGCATGATGTGTTTCTGTTCTGTGTCTGTTGCCCACACACCCCTGTGTGTGCATACAGAATGTATGTCTGTGAATCTACAGATCTGTGAGTATATTTTGCTGAAATATATATGTGGAGTAGTTTCTCAGTCACATATTAACTTATCAAGCTCTTTGAGGATGTGTTAGAGTTCGTAACTATTATTATTACCATCTCTTCATATTTTCTCTTCTTTCACTGCATTTTCCACCCTTTCTTTTGTACTGGGTCTGGCCAGGATGAAGTTAGGGTTAGCCTGTATAGGTGCTTAGCTGCTGGCAGCGATCAACCCACATCATCTTTACAATTGCATTTTTCTGCATTTTTAAATGCCTGTTAACTGCTTCCTCTGTTTACAGAGGATGTTGTGACAGGCAACACTGAACTGCACAGGAAGACACAAACTCCACTGGCCAGACACATACAGGGTTCTTTTCATCTCAACTCCCTGAATGGTCTGTAACCTCTAGAACTGTAACCTCTGGCCCTGTGGCAAGAAACATGTGTTTTCCAGTTGTGTTAACTCAGTCATCTGTGCTGAATAACTAAAAAACACCATCAAGATACATGTGACAGAAATTCCATGATTCGTGATTACATTTTAAACTACTGGCGATGTGGCCATTTCACATAATTTCAAAGGCATAAACCCATATGTGGATGGGAAAGTTCAGTTGGGCTACACTGATTCTATTGAGCTAAAATGGTTAAAAAATATGCTGCTTTATTGTGGGTCTAGAACCCCTGTTTCTTACAACAATGTTTACTTGGGTGGCAGAGGGGCTGTAAGGATAAATTAGCGACCAGACCTTAAAGGTTATTTAGAGTGCAAGCTCTATGAGGTATGGATTGTGTTTTTCTCTGCAGCATATGTGAAATATTAAGGATAACAATTAATTTCAAAAGACATTTGGAAGTCAGCATTTACAAACAGATACCTTGCAGTCACCACAATTATTTCCTGTTAGCAGCTGAGGGGAGTTCTGATGGCTCACACTGCTCTGAACATGAACTTGGCAAACGCAAGCTATCTGCTGAGAGCCTGTATTCCCAGCATCCCTCCCAGCCACAGGCCTATACACTTCTGTCTTAACTATCAAGCTCTTATTTCTAAGAAAGCAGATGAGGCTTTCCCTAGGATGAGATCAGCAGGATTTTGCCCTAGAATCAGTGAGTTCTGTAACTTCTTGCCCCCTTGTATGCATGCATGCATGCATACAGACACAAATGAGGGGGCGGTGTCTCTCAGTCCTTTCCTATTGCATTTTTTTAAAGCATAACCACTATTAGCTTTCCAGTCTAATAACACAGAATTTAGGGCCTCATCTTGTTTCTGTCACCTTTGACTTGAGTATGGGCGACTGGCAATGCTCAGCAGAACCCTGAACGCACATTTGGTGAGAGCAGTCAGCCAGTTAGAGGAGTAATACAGTAACATGAAACACCCCTACTGCCTTGGAAAATGCTGTCTCTTGCCAGCCTTCCTTTAAACAGTTAGATTCCTACTCTCCTTTTGTCCCTTCACAAGTGGCAAACATTTCAGAAATGTTGGTCAATGAACACTGAAACCCCATGAAACTCAACTGAGTTTTGGACTCAGAGCTTGTAAGGAACCTGCTGGGTTTTGTCCCACTCCTCTCAGGTCCTGTAAGCTTCTGTTTCTTGGTGCCTCTGGAGATGTGGAGACTTTTGAGGATGGAGTTTTGTGGCTTACTGTCGTTTTTGCAGCAATGTTGTGACGCTTTTAACAGATATACAACAAGTTTCCTATTTTAATTGAGCCCTTATAGAATAGCATCATCTAGGTTGGAAAAGACCCTTAAGATCATTGAGTCCAACTGTAAACCTAACACTGACACTAAACCATGTCCCTAAGCGCCACGTCTACATGGCTTTTAAATACCTCCAGGGATAGGGACTCAGCCACTCCCCTGGGCAGCCTGTTCCAATGCTTGATAAACCTTTCAGTGAAGAAATCTTTCCCAATATCCATCCAATCTAAACCTCCCCTGGCACAACTTGAGCCCATTTCCTCTTGTCCTATCACTTGTTACTTGGGAGAAGAGACCGACCCCCACCTCACTACAACCTCCTGTCAGGTAGTTGTAGAGAGCAATAAGGTCTCCCCTCAGCTTCCTTTTTTCCTGGCTAAACAACCCCAGCTCCCTCAGCCGCTCCTCAGAAGACTTGTGCTCTAGACCCTTCACCAGCTTCGTCGCCCTTCTTTGAACACGCTCCAGCACCTCAATGTCCTTCTTGCAGTGAGGGGCCCAAAACTGAACACAGGATTTGAGGTGCGGCCTCACCAGTGCAAGTACAGGGGCACTATCACCTCCCTGGTCCTGCTGGCCACACTATTTCTGATACAAGCCAGGATGGTGTTGGCCTTCTTGGCCACCTGGGCACACTGCTGGCTCATATTCAGCTGGCTGTTGACCAGCACCCCCAGGTCCTTTTCCATTGGGCAGCTTTCAGCCACTCCTCCCCAAGCCTGTAGCATTGCATGGGGTTGTTGTGACCCAAGTGCAGGACCCGGCACTCAGCCTTGTGGAACCTCATACAGTTGGCCTCAGCCCATCGATCCAGCCTGTCCAGATCCTTCTGTAGGGCCTTCCTACCCTCCAGCAGATCAACACTCCCGCCCAACTTGGTGTCATCTGCAACCTTACTGAGGGTGCACTCAATCGCCTTGTCCAGGTCATTGATAAAGGTATTAAACAGAACTGGCCCCAGTACTGAGCCCTGGGGAACACCACTTGTGACCAGCTGCCAACTGGATTTAACTCCATTCTCCACAACTCTTTGGACCTGGCCATCCAGCCAGTTTTTTACCCAGCAAAGGGTACGCCTGTCCAAGCCAGGAGCAGAGAGTTTCTCCAGGAGAATGCTGTGGGAAATGGTGTCAAAGGCTCTACTAAATTCTAGGTAGACAACATCCACAGCCTTTCCCTCATCCACTAAGCAGGTCACCTTCTGATAGAAGGAGATCAGGTTAGTCAAGCAGGACCTGACTTTCATAAACCATGCTGACTGGGCCTGATACACGGCAACATGCAATGGGTCAAATCTAAAAGGTAAAGGTAAAGAGAAAAATGCTACTTCTTTTCCATGTGTGTATTAAATCAGATCACAACCTCACTTTATTTTCTTGTAAACAGTCTCTGGACATTCAGTTCCAACTCAATCACAGGGAGATGCTTTGCTGTATTTTGCTCAATTCCATGTCTTGAAATAAGATGCTAAAAAGTTGCAGGCAGAAGAAACTTTCAGCCCAAAAAAGGACAACGATGACAAGCTTCATTGAGATCTGATACCTCTGTCTTCAGATGCCACCCTAAAATCTTTATCCAGCCTTTACCTTCTAAATGGTATTTGCTTTCCTCCCTTCTCCCTTGGAGTCCAAACTATTTTTGAATGATGCCATAGGAAATAAACTGTTTACAGTACTTCTTTATAGTCACAAAGGCAATACCCCCTAGCAAGCCGGGTAAATTTCAAATGGTTCAATGGAGTTTGTGCATGCAACTGGTAGCAAACTTTCATAGTACACATCAGGTGGAGACGACATTTTGCTGCTGAGCTCACACATCCCTGATCTTTGTGTTTCCTTTCCCTTCCATTGAGGACAGCAGAGCTCTGGTGGCAGCCCTCAGAGTGTGAAACACCAGCTTTTGAAAGTAGTGCAGCGTGTCTTCCAGTATCGTGTGCTGCTCACAGGTCAGTAAAATCACTCTCAAAGGTACTCAATGGAAACCCTCCCATGACGTTCTGTGCTTCCACTGTGCCACATGTTGATGCCAAGACAGCTAAAATAGGGCTGAAGCAGTGTGGGATTTCCTGGGAACTTTAATATGCTTAGTACAGGCTTCAGGAAATGTCAGGGAGTCTGGGAAGGAGCAGGCACTTCTTCAGCACAACCATGCTGAAAGGTCACAAAAAAGTGTAAAGTCAGGTGCTTTTAGCCATTCCTTCTCGGCTTTTTCCTTCTGTGAATTAGGAGAGGCAGAGTTCAGCCTCATTGCCAACGAACAGCTTTGATTTTATTTATGTCAAGGGCAATTATCAGAGACAGTAGGGGACAGCAGTCCCCAGCAAGGGGACTCTGCACTGCATCCTATATGACAGTGGCAAGCACCATCTCCTTCCACTCCATCAGCAAAGCAGTTGTACCCAGTACTGCACCCTAAGCCCTGTGTACGGTACTCCTAAGGCTAGTGATAATTTTAAGGCAAAATCCCGGTCCAATTTCTCTGCGTTGTAGAAGGCAGAGATCCAAATTTACATTAACAGCACATTTACAGGTTATACATTTACAGTAACACCTTCCCTTTACATTCAGGACCATATATATCACTCCCACCTGGAGTCTCTCCAAGGGGGGTTGTGTTCCCTCTGGTGGCTTATTCTCTGCAAGCCACAGCAAATCTAGCAAGCCTGAGCCTGTGAGGGGAGCAAACTTTCTGGAGCAGGATGTGGCCCCTAGAAAGAATTGTGAAGTTTAGGTTTGTACCTAATGAACTGCTTGGGGAAGGAAATGGCGAAATGTAATAATGAATTTCAGTGTTGTCAAGTAATTTAGTCAGATCAGACCACAAAAGAGCAGGGATCCATAGACATAGATGGAGAAATGCTTTAGGATTATGTATATGTGTGGGTGGAGAGGGATGCAAGATGAGTTATGCGTGGGACAGTAAAAAGGAAGCCATAAACTCTGCCCATACTCAACAGATGATGAAGGGCACAGAATATTAGAAGAGACTCCTAGAAATGCAGCAGAACAAAGTGACCATATGAAATTTTTATTCACAGCACAGATTAGCAGCAGTTTCATCTTGCTCCAGACACTTTGATCAAGGATGCAACTCATTATTCACAGCTGGTTTTGCTTTTTTAGTACCAGCAATACAAATGAACACCGGATGCCAATAGTAGGCCTTTTTTTCTGTCTGACTTGCTTGCCTCTCTGGGTGTGTCCACATTAAGGGCAACTTTCCAGACTTGCGGGTTGCAATACTTAGTAGTCTCACATGATCCTTACAGTGTTTTTTTAGTGCATGCACACAATACTGCATCCAAGAAAAAGGACTTGGCATGTCCCTGTCAGGGATGCCCCCACTATACTCCCATCTTCTCGGCCCATGTCTGTGGTCCACAAGGTAAATGGAAAACATGAAGCATGATATTTTGTGAGAGAGCTGGAAGGGTTTCAGTGCAGCTCCAGTGATTGAATTCCATCTGTGCTTGAAGCAACCTGAGCTCCTCCTTGTCCCAGGTACTGGCACTAACTGGGAAAATGAAAGTTTTTGTGTGTAGTGAGATAAGATCTGCTAGATTACGATATTCCAGAAAACAGGCTTACTGCTTCAGTTCTTCACCTCAAGAAACAAAGCGCCTCTTTGCCTGCTAGGACAGGGTGGGTCTGGAACAGTGCAGTCCTTCAGATTCTCTAGACAGCGTAACAAAAAATTAAAATATGCAGGTGTACTTGTGTGTTCAAAACTGGCTGTTTCTACCAGATAAGGAAGGGTATTTCATGAGGATATTGGTTGCCAATTACTGCACTACAGCCAAAAGGAGTTGCCCACTCAGTTAAATGTCCATAGGCAAGGGCAGAGCTTGCAGCTGTGAAAAGGAACGCTAATTATTGCCTGGTAACACCGCACAACCCCTTCCTGCCTGACTGAGTACAGGCAGATGCTTTCCTGAATGCACATAAGCCAGGTAGATTTCAGGACACCAGGGAGGGCACAGCACTAGAAAGAGAAATGTATATGGATAGGACATTCAAGGGAACGGCTGTCCATGCACAGCACCATTCTCAGCACAGAGGCCTAGTTCTTGGATGCAGAATTTAGGAGCCTGGATTCATCAGAAAGATAAGAGTGAAGTATTTCAGGATTAGAGTTTTAAAATGGTGGTAGTCATATACTACAGTCATTAAAAGCGTAAAGACCCAGACACAGAACAGACAGATGATCCAAGGCAAATAGTCCAAATAAAATTGACAGGTTAAAGGTTAGTATATAATGCAAATATAATTTCTGTAAATGTAAGTCATATTGTGTGTATTTTACAGAACCTATTTTCAGAATGTTATTGAGTTCAGTAGTAATCATTGAACTCTGCATGTACAGAACCAGAGTCTCCTTCCTGTGTCTATAAAATGCATATAATTCATTTACTATAAATATAGAAAATCAGTCATTACAGCCAACACCATTCATTCAGATGAGAAAATAGAATTCATTAGAAGAACAGTTATTTGTAAAGTGGTGCTACTCAGCAATTCTCTTGGCTGAGGAAGAAGGAAATATTTTTGTCACTCTGTTTATTCGTTTATACCTGCCAAGTTATGTGATGAGTCCAAGTCTGTATCAATGCTCTTCATTGATTCTCAAAGCAGAATGCAGTCAAAGATGAGTTTTGCTTTGGAAAGAGGCTATATACACTTAATTATTTGGGAATAAAGTGATATGGGACATTACTGTGAATGCCCCATCCCTGGAAGTGTTCAAGGACAGGTTGGATGGGGCTTTGAGCAACCTGGTCTAGTGGAAGATGTTCCTGCCCATGGCAGGGGGCTTGGAACTAGATGACCTTTAAGGTCTCTTCCAACCCAAACTATTCTGTGATTCTATTATTAGGATTTTATGTTTTAGCTAATAACACTAAAAATTATGTGGATCTGTATTCTGATTACTGGATGTCTGTGTTTGTTTGATCATTTTCTACAGATTACTTGAATAATCTTTGCCCTGATTCTACAGAGTATGAAGCCACACAAGGTAAAATGAAATGGGTAGAACAAAAATTCTGCTTTGCTAACTCTGCTTCTAAAGAGGTACAGGATCTGTACTGGTAGTATATGGAAGAGGATTATTTTCAAGATGTTGTGTTAATAGGTTAGATATAAGATCTATAAGAACTGATTACTAATTTAGACAAATTATTTAGGGCAAGAACCCTATCTTTTTTTCATTGAAACTTGTGGGCTTCCTATAGTTTTGACAGGATGAACTTACAGAAGAAGAAATTATCATTTATACAAGCGTGGTGCAGATATTGTAGTTCTGCCCCAGGCATCAGGGAAATCCTAGTCTTCCTTGGCTCTGTCCATAGTTGGCCTGGTCATTGTAAAGTCAACTGCGATGGCTCCACCTATTTGTTTGTGTACCATTATCTATGGTATGCCTGCTGTGCTCTGTGAAGTTTGGAGAAACCCAGGAGGTTTCAACTGTATATCTGTATTCTGGATTCCTTAAGCCTAAGTAAACTTGAAAGACATTGAATAAAAATCAGTTCTGCACAATCAAGAAGAAGATATCCAGATGTTCAGCTGCTAACACCATCCTTTCCAACACATCAGATGGATAAAGCAGAAGTCTCTTACTCCCACTGAAGTCAAAGCCAGGTTTAGCTGTGGCCTCAGTGCGAGTAGCTTCCAGGCTGGAGAAAGCAGGAATAACATTGTATTAATGAAACTAGTTCATTTCTCTGTTACACTGAGTGTAAAACCAAACCAACTTCTAGCAATGAAGTCTGTGACTGACTGAGGGTCAGTCTGTTCTGACCGAGAGTATTGTGCAAGATTTAGGACCCAGTGGGACTACAGCTATACCAGTAATTTAAACAAGGCCAAGGCAGATGCTCAAGCCCTATGGCCACAGTTGCCTGTCTTGGCTGTGGTTAGCACGTGTTTGTCACATTTCTGGCCAGCAATGGCTGGCTTGCTCCCAGATTACGCCCAGAAACAGACAGGATGCCCTGTTCCACAGGGGAAGAGATCCGAGATAAGGACCTGAGCCATGTTATGTCACTGCTCTCAGGCCAACATGCGCTGGCCCATGTTATTTGCCAGTGGAGAATCCAGGTGTTAATTCATGTCACCACTTCATACACACTTCTGTCAGAAAGGGATGACCTGTCCTCTCCCTCGGCAGTAAGGGGAAACAGGTCACCTTAGATTGCCATGCTTTCAGATGGCTAAAGCTGGGTTACATTAATCTCTCCCGACCACAAGCTCCAATTGTCGAAAGTCTGCAACTAGAAAACATCACGAAAAGATTTTGTGCCATGCTAGGTGCTTAAAAGGGACCTCATGAGCTCTCTTGGTCAGCAAAAGTATGACGCAGAGTTTCACACAAGAGAATGATGAAGGGAAGGGGAACTGACAGCACTGTGCTTAAATTTGCTGGGCAGTTGCATTCTGAAGGTGCCAAAGAAATTAAAGGAGCTGCTGCTGGGGATGTTGTTTGCTTTTTTTAAAAGATGCCCTTGCAAACAGAAGGGATTGGCATTATTTTCCTACTCTTTTATGTGATTTATGGTGTTTGTTTTGCTTCATCCCTCAGCTGCCTTATTCATTGTTTCTGAAATCACAGACCGAGCCAACGACAGCATGCTCCAAGCGGTGAGTCCTACCATGACACATGCTCTCCTGACCGATAGTGTCTTTTCTGCACATCTGCTGAAGTGAATGCATATCTCTGCTAAATTCTGAAGCCTCCTCCAGGGTGAGACTCAGGGGTTTATACAGATCTGGTTTACAGTATTGCAGATATGGAGTAGGTCTATGGCCTTTAGTGCAGCTGTGCAAGATGTAAGTCACTGTAGCAAGCAGCACGAAGTTTTTTTCCCTCTTGGGATTGCTGAAATGGTATGTGGAGCAATGAAGTGAGAGACAGGAATTTTCATGGTTCTATTTCTAGCCTGGGATGTTTTTAGATATGAAATGTTGAAGACATCACAAATGTACTGTCAAGGATACATTCTGAGCTCATTTACATAATTTTTCCATAATTCTGGAATCCGATTTTACTTCAGAATAGGTCATGGTTTATAGTCTTGCAAATGATCACACAACCAAATACACTGGCCAAGACTTTCATAGGTTAGAGCTCATGTCTAAATTCAGATTTAGGTAGCTAAATAAGTTATATAGTTTTCCAAAGTAATGAAGAGTTTCTGTAAGGTCAGTGTGATTTATTAATATTGCTTACATGATAGTAGAGTTCTAATTTACTGGCAAAGATAGCCTGCAGATAGCTGGTCTTATGATCATTTGTTCCCAAGGATCTAGGTGTGATTTTTGTCTAAGATGGTAGGAGTTTTCTATTGACATCAGTAAGAAGCAGTGTTGGGAGGCATAGGAAGCAGCAGAGACTGTCAGACACGTGATCCAGCAGGTTCCAGAGGAATTCAACTTGGTGGACCTCTAGGTGACAACTAAAGGTAGTGCCTTTCTTTTTGTAATACTAGCCACCCACACCTGCAGCTAAATTCTCTCCTGAGGTCCACGTTTGCTTTAGCTGCACAGACCTAGCATTCAGCTCAAGTAGTGAGAAAGAAGTGCCTACAGTCTTCGCAGTCTAATGAAATGTTGCTCACTAAGTCCATAGTTTCAGAATCATTCTGTAGAGTGGCCAGACTACATTTCTTTTTATGATAAAACTCTACATCTGTTAGACCTAGAGAAAATAGTCATAACAGAGGCCAAAATTTCAAAAAATGCCATTTTTAAGCACTTGTTTTCAAGACATTTAGATTACCAAGGAGTACGTGAAGTTGCTAAGGAAGACGTTGACTATTATGACGTGGTTTGTGTTCAACAGCATGCGTGTTAGAGAACAAAGCACCTCATTCCAGGCATCCTGCATTTCATCCAATAGTTAGTGGTTACGCTGAAGTGTTTCTTTCTCAAAAGATGTCTCATCTGAAGCATTTTATCATTGCATTGGGTCACATGGATTTCAAGTGATTGGAATGTATCATATCTTTTGGGATTTCACACTTCATTTCTCATTTGAACATTGCTGAATTTAACATCCTGCATTGAGATTTTGTTGTGCATTTGCTAAATAAAAAGATCTTTTTGGCATTGCAAACATCCTTCCCTATGGTTAATTACAGATGGCATTCAATTCACTTCTTTATTATTTCATTTACTAAGCAGAGTGAGGCTTGTTAATGATCACTCAGGTACCAAAACACAAAATTCAAGAGACAAAGAGAAAAAAACACCTGGGCATCAATGCAGACAAAGGGAAGAAACGAAATTGTCAACCCTTCTTAGTAAAAGCTTGTTTGCAGGTAGGATTTTAAGGTTGAAAGAATGAATGCACAGGAATTTTTAGGGATTGAAAGACACATGCTGAAGGCCACTACAGCTACACACCAGCACTGCTGACTCAGCATATTCCCTTCAACGCCTTTGTCCTCTGGCTGCAGTGGAGTGGAAGCACTGGGTGAAGCAGTGAATTCAGACTGTGTGACATGGTAAAAACGCAGTAGGTCAACTAGATGAAGGATGTTTTTTGCAACAGCTTGGGAGGTAGAGAATGAAAGTCTGAAAACCCAAGGTGCCCTTCATCTTTTAAAACTGAAGCTTTCATGCTTTGTTCAGAGAAGTAGAAGCATCTGCTTGCAGCAAATGAACCCAAGAGCCAAGAATGTCAACTTTTGCTCACATCTGGAAATCTCTGCTGCTCAGGTTTAAAAGCCATGTCTCTGATATGTGGGCCAAGGTCATAAATGGATCCCGTGTGTTCATGGGCTGTTTCAGAGCACCAAGTTCAGTGATGATCTCCTCATGGCCAGCGACTGACAAAAAACAAGCCTTCTAATATTTGTATCAGAAAGGGATAAGTTGTAGCTAAAACTACTTACTATTTCCTGAATAGAGAAACCTGTCTTCATGGATCTGCCTCCTTCCCCATCTGATAGCTAGAAACTGAGACTGAGGCTCTGAACCTGCTTCTCCTGAAGCCAGTGGCAAAATTACCACAGATCAACACGAAGTCCAACTGGTGGGTTTCTGGTTTTGTGCAGAGATGATCTCAAGCCATGATGACAGATCAAGATTTTGAGCATTCTGAAGTTCAAGGTTTTTAAGGTCAAAACTCAAAATTCAGACCTGCATTTTCACTCAATGCAAACTTAAAAAAGCTTGGACCTATTGATTTGGTTTAAGTCCATTTCTGCTTTTCTGCTCCAAGCTTCTCAACCCCCAACCCCATCCCGGCACATCTACCTCAGAACACATTCCCCCTTTATACAACAACGTCAGCCCATTTGCTATGTTGATGTGGCTCTGTGACAACCCAAAACCTTCAAACCTTCATTTTAAAGACAGCACTTTTTTTACTCCTCCTGATTGCTAAGGAGGAGTTCCAAACGTGAATCATGTGTAAACAAAGCAGCACACTGCTTCAGCAAGCAGACAGCCTCAGCACCTTTGCTGAGTGTAAACTATCAGCTACACTGATCTCTTTGGTTGCTTACTCTCAGCTTTATTTAAAGATGGTTGAGCTATCAGCACAAACTATTTTCTCATCAGCTATTATAGTAGATAGGATGGGGACAAAAGTTGGGAGGGAAGTCTTTGTAGGTGAAATGGTAGTTGCATTACAGCCAAACGTAATGGTGAAGGAGGAGAAGGAAAGGAGAGAGAAAGAAGCATAACAGAAAAGCAAGATGCAAGAAACAATGATGTTCACACAGACTAATTTGGAGTGATGTTCAGCATTGACAGCAATAACCAGTAGTGAATTACTACATATACACTATTCTGTTACCTAAACAAAAGAACAGATGTAGACTGCAGGGAGCATGTGGTCTAACAAGCCTAGAGTTTTATCATAAAAAGAAATGTAATCTGGCCACTCTACAGAATGACTCTGAAACTATGCACTTACTGAGCAAAGTTTTAAACAGGTTTGATTCTGATTTTCTTTCTCCTCAGGCAAAGAATTTATAATCATACTTTTCCATTATTAAAGCATTCTTTGTACCAAAATAATAAATATTTCATCATAAAACTGAGATCTCAGGAAAAGTTCCCACAGTAATCTCAGAGCTTTAGGGATACCTGTATTAGAGGTTGAGAACTGTAAGAGCTCAGTTCCTAACAGATCACAGTCACACATCTTTTTCTGGCATCTGTGCTTTCTTAGATTTCACTCAGATTTATGGGAGATGTGTATGAATACTTTTCTGAAGTTAGAAGTATACGTAAGTGGCCAAAATCAAATTTGCTGTGTTGCATTACCACGCAATGATTTTATCTCCACTAAGCCATGCTTTAATTTGAAGAACATCACCATATCATTACAGACCATATAATAATTGCTGTTAATAATGTCTCTTTTGGAACAATTTCATCACAAATTCCACATAGATTTTTACACTTCATTTTTTATCATATCATCAGAGCACATCTGCTCTTTTTCAAAACCGTGGCCTGGAAGAGATGAAACAAAATTTCCTTCTTTCCCATCTGTGTGAATGCTGTGGGTTTTGTGGAGGCACAGGTTCATGAGAATCAAAGTTCAATATTCTGCCAAATCAGAGGTTGTCCTCCTGAATTAATATCCCATCCACAAAAGCCACAACCAGCAGTTCTTTTCTTTCTCTCAGATTTAAAAAAATGCAAAGAATTTCAGAAGTTTTACTCTAATTACAGAACAAACTGAACAATGCCACTCAAGACAGAGCATTAATAACTTGTCATGTACCTGGTTGCAGTTCTAAGCAATGATTTAGACTTGGCATGTACCTGGAAGGAGGAAGATTTCTGCTGCCACTTATCAACTCATCAAACTACACTCCAAGAATTTGACAGGAGCATTGAATCATGATCTACATTTTCTGCAGAATATCAATGATTCATTATTAGCTTGTTTCATGATAATAACACTTCAGCAGTTTTTCCCTGGGAACTATTAACCCAGGATTTTCAGACACACTATGATATTAACTACCTCCACAGCATTTTCATCAAGTAGGAAAATATTATTCGCAATTTACAGATGTGCAGAGGCATAAGGCATACCATCACCGCATAGCATTAAGTCTATCTGTAACTCTAGGAGACATTCACTACTTGAACTAAGCAGGGTTTGTATTGCTCTCTGAACTTCTACAATCTGTTAGAGGCTCTGAGATGCAAAGAGCTATAAATCATTGTTGCTATTAACAGCTGGTGAATTCCTTGGGGAGGTGTTCCTTCTGCATAGACATAAGGATAATATGATAGAAGCTGCAGTTCCCTGCTAAAATGGCCCGAGAAGGATTTCAGCCACCCGCATCTGCAGTATTAGTTGGGTGGAGCTTTGTTTTAATTTTTCACTAGTAGTTTGTGAAGGATATTTGAAAGGAGAATTATGATAGTTTTAAGGAGAATGAAGAAAACTATATAAACAGAGAGTTTTAGGGGAACTGTAGGGAACTATACCCCCCTCAGCTGCCCACATTCCCAGATAAATCACTGTCCTTCACATGTGATGGCTGTTTGACTTCCTACAGGAAATGAGTTTGATACATCTCTGTCCATTTCCTGGTGAACATGTGTCCGTATTGCAAATGTCAGCATTACAACAGGCGCCTCTGCCAGCAGTCCCAAGAAAAGCTGAGGTGTATCTGAGCTGCAGCAACTTCTCTCACTTTTGTAGAAACCCCAATGAGTAGTACTAGCATTGGCCACGAGCGTGCTTACAGGAGGGCACTGCCTTTTCTGCGGATGAAGACCGGGTTTCCATTGTGGAAGCTGTCAATTTGACAAGTTTTGCTAGGGCTAGAACACCTTTTAGTGATGGGAAAGTCCTTTGCAAATGTCTTTTGCAAATGTCAGCTGTCCCATGATCCCTGGTATTTCCTGTGCAATTAGTTTATACATTCTGTTTCCATTTTGCTGGCCTATAGTATTTTAGAAGTGACCTGAAAAATTCCATTTGTTACTTCCTGCATTGCCAAAGAGATACTTGACGGCTGAAATTTTTGAAAATGTGTCAAGTGCCAGTTATATTGTATGGTCACAATGCAGCCCTGTGCTGGTCAAGGCTTGTAGGTGTTTCCATATGTTTGATATGCAGTTACTGATTAAGAACTAAACTTAATATCATGCTAAACAAGTGTAATATTTCACCAGGGCAGTAACATATGGAGGTATTTCAGGCTTATCTCAAAAAGCAAGCTGAAATAGGTACATTAATTGTGTTAGCTGAAATCCAGGCTAAATTAGCCTTGACAGACCATCATGTTGACATGGATATGCCCCTTCTGGTATCTGTGATAGCTTTCTTAATTAGCTGATTCTGTAGACAGCACTGATTTGTATCAGGCAGATACATTGTACGATCTAATTGAGTCTAACTAAGCCCAGGGGTATCTTAATGCCAGTCAATGGAGCACAGGAAAACAGAGCATTATCTGTCATAGCAGAAAAGTGTAGTCAAAGGCTGCCAGGTCATGAAGCTATATCAAATATGGTCCTTAGTCTGTAGTTTATCTGGGTGTGTAACTGAGGATTTAGGATACAACGGCTAACTTAGACAAGAGACTCCTAATTTTTAGACATATTCTAGTGATGACTCACTGCTGCTGTGCAGCCCATTCTACTGTTCTGACCAGATAAAACCACAGCTGAATCCTATGTACAAGCCTCGGTTTTAGCAGCCTCACCTCCTAAATGGAAGGAGATTTGAAAAGACTCTAGCAATATTGCAAAGGTACAGACATGCCTTCTTCCTCCTTTGTATACTCCTTCAATACCATCTTTTTTATGAGAGCACAGGCTTAGCTAGATTAATCTTATTTACCATCTTCATAGATAAGTTCATGTCACATATCAGTGCCCACTGACTGTCTGTGCTTTAAGGCCAAATAGGCAGTTAATAGTATCAGAGTTTGATAATGAACTTCCTGATCTTTGCAGAGCATGAAAAGAGAGATGCAGCTTCATTGCCTGCTTACTAGTTAACCTTCTAAATCCCCTATTGCAAAGCCATCAATCTGTTATCACAGAATATAACCCTCCAGATAATCCTAGCAACAGTCTTATAGTATCAAAGCATGCTTTGGATTATCTGTGTCATGCCACTAATGCACAGGCCTTTGGAGCAGATACTGTACTTTGTCTCTGCTTCCAGTTTATTAGTTCCCAGAACAAGAAAGTCAGCAGAGGCGAATGTATAAATACTGCATGGAGTTAGCAGGCCCTTTTGAAGGTGAACTGAGGTATCAGAGGTAACAGGAGTGTAGAAGGCCACAGAAGATATGAATGCAGGTGGTGAAGTTTTATAAAACCTGTAAGGCTGGAAGACTTTCTGGGTGTAAAATCCCTGGGTTCAGTTCTCTCTGAAACCTAATTCTGTAATACCACTTTTAGAGAAATAAAATGGTGGGGAGAGGTGAGGGAAGGTTTGCCTGCTTGTCTAAAGAACAGTCACCATGCAGTCTCCTAAACGCTGTTTCTCTCCCCTAGGAAAACTTGCAGAAGCTGGTACACATTGAGCACAGTGTGAGAGGGCAGAGTGGCCTCCTCCAGCCAGGAAGGGTGAGTGCTGCAGGCAGACCTATGCTGATAAGGGCATTGTTTCCGTCCAGCTATATCTCTGATTGTGTGGATGGCCAGATTTCAGATGTCTACAGGTGTTGTTTACTGAGCTACTGTGATAAGAGTTGGAGCACTGGTTTGTGTAAAAAGCCATCATTCTGGCAGTGCGCAAAGAGATGTGCTGAGAGCCTCAGGCTGGGAAAGACATGCATTGCCCCTGCTTTTACACAGAGCAGCCATTCGACTTTTCACTCCAGCTGTCCCAGCCACCCCATGTGTAGTGCTGTTTTCCTCCCTATATACTCCTGTTGAAAGGTTGCAACACTAGCAGGAATCATTTGCAGCCTGGAAAGGCTCAGAGTTTTATTTGGCTGGGTAAAAGCCTTAAATCAGGGGAAATCATTTGTTTTCAAATTTTTATTCTCACCATTCCCCAGTGGTGCTTTTAATGCAAGACATAATTTTTAAGCAACACATGAACAGAAATGTGGGAGAGTGTATAGCTCTGTCTTGCCATCCACATCAAATGCAAATTTCTTCTCCTGGCTTTCAAACCTATCCAGTTTCCTCAACTCCAACCTGCCTCTGCACTTCAAAACATTTCTTTCTCGAGTTCTGCAACTCTAAATTTCCCTTCAGTCCCCCAATATCTTCAGCAAAACTCATGAAGCAATTTTCAAGACATGCATACTCGTAGCGTAAGAATCTTCATCAGCCAAATACTGCAGTCAATCTCTTTTTTTTTTCTCTAACATCAGTAGTCTCACTTGCCCTCGCCAGGTAATGCTTTAACAAATTCTGCAAAGCCCATCATACAGAATTCGTGGGATTGGCCTCTTTGATTATAAATTGTTCTAGAGTGAAAAACTACACCAGATTCTATTCTCCATCCAAAAAGAGTAGATGACTGTTAATCCACTGAAGTAGTTCAGTTATTCTAGAACTTTTCAAATGTTATTGCAATCAAGTTCTAGTATGCTGGTTTAGCTGCTTACATACATAGTCCTTTCTATATGCATAGTTAACAATATGGACTGACAAAGTATTGTGTTTGCAAACATGTACAGATTATGTATGCAGGCATACTTACGTGGATGTAGCGTGCTGAAACCTGAGGTTTCAGCTTTTCTTTTTGGTCTGTCTATTTTAGAGGATTTTTAAAGACCAGAGTTCTTTTCTGAAGCCTGTTACGTTAGCTTTGCAATCTGCGACAGTCACCTCTCAGCACAGTCCACGGTGCAGAAGCAGTGGGCTGAGGACAAGTGGGTTTCCAACCCATTCGGTTCTGATAAAAATGCAAGCCATAAAGAGCAGCAGGGCTAACCCAGGCAAAGACTAAGCCAGATCATAAGGAGTAAGGCTAGAAGCAAGTGTTGAGGATCTCTCTCTTCCTGTGCTGATGAAAGCAGTTAGAGTAGCTCTTTCCCCAGGAAGAGTATTCTCTTTCCTCAATAAGATTCAGAATGAGAAGTCTCAGGATTACAATCTGCTGTTTTCTCCTTCAGATCTTTGTTAAAGAGGGAACGCTGATGAAAGTCTCTGGCAAAAACAGGCACCCTCGGCATTTGTTCTTGGTAAGATTTCTTTTATATTTTTACTGCCTCTCCCGTATCTTCTCCTGCACTTATGTAGCCCTGAACCCTGGCAGAAATTTTCAGGCTGCAAGTCATTTAACCATCAGCAGTGATGTGGTGAGTCAGTTTCTGTTGCTAACAGGGCTGTAGCCCTTTCCACACATGTCCCATTGGCCCTGCATACAGGAATACGGGCTGTGCAGCCCTCCGTTTGTGCCACAGCGACGTACAGCCTTGACTAGGCCATAATTTTGCAAAGGACTGCAAGTTTCCAAGGTGATCAGGAGGATGGGAGCTCCTGAATACTTTCAGCAATTAGCCTTCACACTTGAAAGTCCAAACCTAAGGCCTCAGGAGATCTGATTAGAAGCAACAGAGAACACCTTACTGCTAAAGTTTGTGAAAGCTTTCTTTGGACTCACTTGAAGCTCAAGGACAGGGTTTTAGTTCCTGCTGTCCACATCTATGTATATTACCTGATAACTGTGTACATTGCCTCGGTATAGTCCCTCTGAACACACACCTCCAGCTGATTAGAGTAATGGTTTTCAATGATAGTTTGCAAACTTCTTCTGAGATAGTTAAGAAAAATGAACCTTTCATCAGCTGGCTGGAATACCCTTCACAAGAGTCCACAACCCTACCACAAAAATTACAAGTATTTGCAAATCAAAACAGATTAAAACCCACTGTTTTGGAGATATGCTATTAACACTCATGCTTTCTGTTTTGCATTACACACTACATTGATCAGTTAGAGGGGATCAGAGACTCCAGGCTCCTGAACTCTGTTCCTAACTTTTCAGGTAGCTTATTGCGTAACCACAGGCATTTTTATGCATTTATCGGTATGAAGGGAAAAATAATACTTGCCTGTGTCTTAGGAGTTTATTACCTGCTTACCTGCTAATGTTTGAAAAATTCTTTAGAGCGCCTTCCCAGAAAAGAGCCATAAAGAACTGAGCATTACTGCTGCTATTAACATTAAAGTACTGTTTGCAGAATTTATTTTAAAATAAAAGGCTTATATACCTGGAATACGTATTTGCTGTGGCATCTGTAAGTGCTGACAGCTTTTCACCCTGGGACCATTGTGAGGAGGAGAGATGGTGTATTGCAGAAGTCATACATTTTGCCATTAATTCTTCTTATTTCTCCCTCATTAATATTTCCTATTTGTGCATCAGTGGATGCACAAGCTTCTTTGCCTCCTTGATTGTGTATTGCAGTAATAATCAAAGATCAGATGGGATGGGACACAGTGCTGGCACTGCACTTTTCTGATGGCTTCATTGGTTTCTGTGAAAATTCAGACTTTCATGTATTGAAAGTGATGGATTTCACCTAAATCTTCAAATATGAGATTGCTGCAGTGCTGTTTCACTGAGTTAGCATCAATGGACTGTAACAACAGTAATAAATGTCAAAATCATGACTTTGTTGCAGCCAAGGGAAAATGGCCATGCCAGAATCTCCAGGAACTGGTCTTAAGAAACAGTGTTCTCAGGAGTTCACTCTGAAGCCTACTGATGACCACTTCATAACAGATGATACTTGCTTCCTTACTGATCTCTCTTCTGAAACACTCGCCTTTACTAGTATTACAAAAACATTTTGGAGTTGTGGTTAAAGCTGGGAGCAAATTCCAAGAAGTTGTTACTGTTTCGTCTTCCAGTGCGTTCGTAACTGCCATCATAATCCACTACTATGGCAAATACTGAAGCGTCACAAACCTATCTATTGTAACTGATATACAGAATTTAAAAGGAAGATCAGAAATCACATTGGTAATAAACACTGAGAGGAAAGTAATTTAAACTTGGGATAAAGTGAGATAAATTTCAAGTAGTCCAAAATGGTTGTATCAGCTTGAAGGTCACAAGAGGCTGAAAGTATTACTAGAACAAAGAAAGCACAGAAATGAGTTTCTGGCACTTTCTAGTTTAGGAACTATTTTTGATTCCTGGGGAGAGTTCAGCTGCTCAAACCCGGATGTTAACTGCAAAGACAGAAGTGTCTCTTGGCAGCTGGAGGACATTACAGTAGCCAATGTCCTGTTGTTAATAGATGCTCTCAGTATTCAGAAACAGTGTTTTTTTCTTCCTTTCAGTGAGAAAGGCAAACTGTGACCAAATGTTCTGTCATGCAAAGTGTGTGGTGGAGCTAGACTAAACCATAGTGGTCACTTTCAAGAACCAAGAGACACATAAAACTGGCTTCTTTCCTGCTCTAACACACTGCAATTGCAACCACTTCAGGCTTCCTGCATTATGCCTCTTCTTGGGGCGGGGCAGAGGTGATTGGATCTTGGAAATAGTTTGAAACTTATTGGCAAATATCTGCCTTTGGGTTCAATGATTTTTTTACTCAGTCTCCTCTACCCTGAAAGCTCCTCAGGTTGCAGAGCAATGCCATGTATGGTGAAATTGCGGGAAAGCGAGTCACTGTGGAATATGGTAATTCCTGCATTAACAGCTGAATGGTTTTGCATTATCTGCTTGTCACCACTAATGCTGTGGATTCTCTGTTGTGCCACCACCACTCATGCATTGCTTAATGGACTATTTAGCCTGTGGATACATTAAGACAACTACTACATAGCTATGGCAAGATATTTTCATCTTGGCATATAGCATCTTCACTGCATCAGTCTTAAGGCCCTACCAACCATCACTGCCAACACCTTTTTGTAACATGCCTGCGTGAACGTATCCTTCCCTCTGCCAGGGCATCTAGCCCAACCCACGTGCTGTCTTGATTCTGATGCCTGGAGACACTGTGGAAAAAAAACCCAACCCACAACCACAAAACCCCAAGACGAGAATAATCTCCTGAACACTGTCTCTTAAAACCCACATTTATTTAAAGCCCTTATGTTCTAAGGACCATATCGTAATCCTTTGAAGCCACTGGCAAAACTCAGGTAGGATAAGAACTTATCCTAATGTATTAATCGAAAAACCTTTCAGAACTGTCTTTTTTTTTTTGATGCTTCACATGTCAGCTGCCACTGAAAAAGATCACCAGAAGCTAACGTGTGTAGGTGTAGTTTGGTTTAGCTTTGGATGAAATAAGTGTATTTACCTTAGCTACCCAAACCAGATTTTTACATGAACAGCATTTTCTGAAGTTCTTGGTAGTGAACTTACTCTGACTGAAGCTGTCAAGCCCAGGACCTGGAGAGAATTTCAGTGGAAGGATAACCCTGAGAATTTAACCCTACACATCCCAGGAGATGAGCCCACCAAACTAAAGTTGTAGTTAGAATATGCTATAAAAATTGGGTGTGGGCCAGACTCGTACTTGGCCTGTGCATTCAGGGTGTGCTTTGGTGGTGTGCATGCCTCTGCTTTGAATATATGCCCATAAGGAGCATTGTATGTCTGTGCACAGCCCATATAGGCATGAGTGTGTAGGACGCACATTTAGGGGCTTTTGATGTGCATATGTTTCTGTGGGTGTATGTATGTTATGTGTATCACAAGGTTACTTGAGCTGGCTGTTTTGTGCAGGCTGATGGTATTGTTGAATCTGGTGTTTCCTGGCAGGATGTTTGGTGAGTTTTGCTGTGCGCCTGTTTCCTGAGTCCAGTCTCTGTTTACAAGGATGTTGGGGCCTCTTTGCAGCACAGTATGGGCTGCTGACACTGGCAGGCCCCCTAACTGCCCCCCAACCACAGGACTTTGCAAGTCAGACACTGTCCCTTATCTCACCCTTCCAAGAATTTCTCTACAAAGGCTGCTTGTGTTGCAAGTGGGGTGCGGGAAGCTGCTATCAAATGGGAGACTGTTTAATGCTCTGGCTGGCAGGGCTGGAGTATAGGAGGTTTTGGAGTCAGAGCATGGAAAATGCAGCCCCAGCGCACATTCGGGCTGCTCCGCTGACACTCAGGGGATGTTTAATGCAGGCTTGAATAGAACAACACAGGGTTCATAATGAACTACCCTTTAAAACATTCAGAAAAAACAAACATGTGGTAGGAGCTTTTAGACAGATAGGGCATTACGTATGGATGCCAGCAGTTCCGCAGGGCATAACTTGTTTTTTTAGACAGATAGGGCATTACGTATGGATGCCAGCAGGTCAGCAGGGCATAGATAAACTTGTTTGGATCAATAAATTTGGACACTGTAGGTTAGAAAACTTGCACTGACCTCTGATGTTACTGAGTTCCAGTCACAACAGAGGGAATTATAAAAAGAAGGGGGGGGGAAGAAAAGTAGTAACAGAAAAAAAGACAATTAAAGAACAGACGTATCCTTCTTTGTGTTATCAACTGTTGTTTTGGGGACTGTGTGTGTGCATGGAGCAGTGCAGAATAGGAATACTTGCTCCCATATCAATATCTGAGCAGTTTGGGGATCCCAATTATTCAAAAATTTTCTGGCAAAGAGGAGGTGGGTCTGAAGCCCAAGGACTTCTGGGAACTCCCCTGGAGGTTGTTGCAGTTGATCTCTTCTACCACAGATTCCTGAGGGGCTGCAAGATCAGCTTTTATCATGGCCCAGTCCTCACTGGTTCAGGGAACAGTGTGCAGTGTGAAGCAGGAGGATGCATGAAACCACTGGCGCACTGATGCTGGTTCTGTCAATACCATTCATAAAGCTACCACTCCATGTGGCAAAGGAGACAGCATCGAGTGCAAACCCTTTCTTTCTTCATGAGTATGTATGCCTTGCTTGGCAAGCTTTGAAATATTTGTCATAATTTCATTGTGTTAAGCTGTGGCTGGTGGGACCTCAGAGTCACAGTCCATCACTATATACTATATACTGTGGGGGAGAAAAACAGGAGGAAAAAAACAACTCCAATGGGCAATTAGAAAGCAAAGTCATCATTAATGTTTAAGAAAATCTTGGGATATTAACCAGAGCTGTTGTGACAACGGTATGCACCAGTGTGTCATCCTTAATCAACAGTAATTGAAGAATGAACTGCTTTTTAAAGAAATATATGACTTTTAAAATAAATAAAATAAATTGAGTTTGCTGTTCAAGAAACCCAGTAGCATATTATGCCAGAATCCTGAGAATCTCTCTTAGGAGTTCACTTCCTTGGGCTTAGTGCCCATAACTAGTTATCTTTTCTTGTGGTTTGAAACAAGCCTTAAGTACAGGCACTGATGAGTGGCAGAGGAGGTCCTGTTTTCTCATATAATCCTTTGAACATTCAGGAGAGAGCAGAATCACCAGGCAAATACGAGATTTCACTGGTATTCTCATATTTCACAGTGTTCTCTTAGTGTTAGCAATAAAGTCTGCCTGCCTTTTTACCTTTTTCTCACCTGGCTGCTGGAGTCCTGGTGGCTACTAGTAATATCAAGTGAAAATAGCTTTCATCTGCTTTTCTCTGAAAAGTTTATATTTGCCCAGTTTTTTCTGCCTTAGACTCCAAGATACTCACTGTGGAGTAGGTTGTGATGAATTTCTGGTTATGCATAGCCCTGGTTAAACTGGGAATCATCATGTGGTCAGCACTGTGCAGGTGTCACTGTGCTGACTGGATTAATGTTAGCATGGAGGGTAATTTATGGAGCAATAAGTAAATCACCGAAAAACTCTGTGACAAGCCATTTGTCACCTTGTTCTAAGGAAATTCTATTGTGTTGTTGCAAAAGGAGTAAATACTCCACTTTAGACTACAGAGAAGAGAACATGAGACTCCTATTCTGACTCGATAGTATGCTTTTGTATCCTCAGTTGAGAAGCGTTATATTAAAAGAGCTTTAAACTCCACACAAGTTAAGACTTACTAGAAGGAAACAGAAGTACATAGTAGAGTGGCCAATGCAGGAGAGCATGGGAGTCTTTTTGTTAAAATGTTAGAAGGAAATGTTTCAGCATTTTCTACAAAAATATTGGCAGATCCTAATCAGTAAACTCAATTCAGTTTTTAAAAGTAGTACAATTTGATGTAAAAGTTTTGGGGAAAGTCACTCTTCAGTATATTTTGCCTCATGTTAACAGGAATCTGCATTTTAAAGATGGGCAGCTAATGCACCTAAGCCTGATTTGCTGTGAATCAAACAGCTACTTAATGAACTGGTATCCACAAGTGAACTCATGACCCTAATAAAGGCAACAACAGTTTTGGTGTTAAGTCCAAGGTGAAGGATTTTATCCCATGAGTATTAATTCCATGTCATTTTTCTTTAACCATTGTTCCTGCTCTGTAAGAAAGCTGAACTATGACCTTTTAAGAAAACATGCATAAGGCTCTACTTTCCCTTTTTTTTTCAGGCAAGCAAATTAGTGAAAATTTTACACCAGCAGTTTAGGTGGTGAGGCAGCCCTATCAAGACCCCAACAATTCCAGTCACACAGGATGCATTATTTTATTGCCAAATCATTCTTTAGTTTCCTCCCTTCTTCTCTGCATCTCTCTTTATGACAGTTTTCCTTCCAAAATATAATATTATTACCATCCAATTGGCCATATTAAATGTCTTTGTCACCGAGGAATCCAAGTGAAGATAGTTTCTGTCCATGTTGTAATTTCTTCAGAATTTCTCCATTTAAGATGCCTTGTCTCTGGCATCACACAGTATTACCTATGCCTTGGTTTTACATTGCCTTGCACATCTTTGTTCATAGTATCCCGGTAGAGTAATCAAGGGGCTGTCTGAGTTTATGCATATTGGTACTGATGTGAGAGGCCTGGGAAAGACAACAAGAGAACATGACCTGCTCATTCAAGTAAAGCAGAGAATGCATGCACACAAGTGTTACTCTGGCAATGTTAAGGCACACCGATACTGCTCTTCCTTCTGGTAGTAAGGGAAGGAGAGGGCAGCAAAGACCTACAAGGTCCAGTTCTGCTGTTTCATTTATTTTTTTGTTGGCACGAAGGTAAAAGGCTGTAATAATGTCTATGATTTAGGCAAACAGCAGAGAAGATCTGATCCCATTTAGTATGAAGCTGTTTGAAAAACATGCATTCTGCAAGGAGCTGTGAGAACTATGGAAATATTTGGGGTGTTAAGATACAGATATTTTTCCTCATAAAATGAAAAGAAGTTTCTCATTTTTGCCCTTCCATGGTCTCTGCTGCGGCCCACAGACTCAGCAAAGCTGTCATATGTCTAGGCGAGTTTTGCTAGCAGTGAAGTACAGTTACTGCTCTCAAATATCCAAACCATTCCTCCCTGAATCATTCCTCCACACCATGGCACCTCTCCTCACCTCCACTTCCTTTTTGCCCAGAAAATGGAAGTCTGTGAAGCCAAGCCCTACCCCTGGCATCACTGCAGCGTCAGTGTTGGGGGAACCCTGAGAGAGTCACAGCTGCAGCATCCTGGGCAGTCAGTTGGTATTGCCAGGTAGTAAATGCAGAACCTGCCTTCTGAACTTGAACATGGCATTGCCCTTAAAACAAGCAGCTGTTTCACCCAAGCTGAATAAAAAAGAGCTGATTATCTACTTGCTTAGCCATTAGCAACAGCCAAAAATGGGAAGAAATCAAAGTCCTGGATGCAGATTCCCCAGAGTTTTGTGGAAATGCAAGTCTTGATCTAAGCCGTGTGGCTTGGGCTTGTCTTTAGTAACAGTCCTAGCAGTTCATCAAGTTACTGCTTGTTCTGTGTATCCCCCCCAGGAGTAATGGGCAGGCCTGCAAGCCATATTGCAAATTATTGATTTTGTCTTTCTCTTCATGTAGATGAATGATGTTCTGCTGTACACATATCCCCAGAAGGATGGCAAATACCGACTGAAAAACACCTTGGCTGTGTCAGGCATGAAGGTAACGCCTCATCTGTATTATAGGCTGGAATTAAAGTTGTATAGTGGGCTGTTAGTGTTTTGCTGGTTTATGTCCCATAGCCAGCTGAGGACAAGGGGAAGGAGGGGATGGACCTGTTATCAGGGGATTCCCTTGCCTCTTACAGGAGACAGAAGGAAAAATAACATAAAGCAAACATATAAAAGATTATCTATAAGGCTGTGACTTAGTACGACAGCCTTATTCAGGCTGCATAAATAATACAAGCCAAAATCAGGTTTACCATCTGATCATGAAACTGGAGACAGAAAAGATTTATTATCCTATTTTGTCTATTCCTCTCTTCATGTCTCCAGCCAATACATGGTTGTTCCCTACAACATATTCACTAGGGCTTAGTCTGCCTGGTTTTAAACTCCTGCCACTCAAAATTTATGTAATCTTTCATTTGCCTGGTTTTCATGTGCCCTTTAACTGTTTTCATCAAAAGCATTAATGGGTTCAAAAAGTAATTAGCCAACTTTATGGGGAAAAGGTGTATTGGGAACTATTACATGCAATGATATAAACAGAGTCTCTTCTTCAGTAAATTTCTAAATTGCAGATTACAGAAACTGGACACAATTGTCCTGTTCTTACACTTTTTCCCTACGTATCCATTGGCACCAGTACCTGTGCAACAAGAGGTATTGGGCTGGAGGGGTTTTTGCTTCTTACCTAGCCATCCATTACATATGTCCTGCCAGGAACCTTCAAAACTGTTCTATAGCTAATATGCCAAGTAGTATTTATGTGAAAGAGGACTTGAAGTGGCAAGTCAGGAGTTTGGGGATCTAGGAAACAAGCAAGATGAGAATTACTAATCATTAATTCCAGCAGAATGACACGGGTGGGTTGAGGTGTTATGAAAAGGTGGGAGGCTGATCACTGTAGAGACCTGATATAGTCTAAAATTAACTATGGGTTTTCAGCTGGGGTAGGAATTGCCAAAACACCCTACTGTTAAGTGAAAAGTAGTTGCAGAACAAGTACTTGCTGGGGTACATTTGAAACAGTGAGTCCCTGGCATAATAGATGCTTGTTAATAACAACATATCAGTACCACAAAGCTGTTTCTCCTAAGTGGCTGTTGCTATTAGTGGGCAACTAATACACCACATGGCAGGGAAAAGGTTTTAGCTGAGCTGCAGCTCTTAAGTATTGTTTTTGCTCTTAAAGACCCTTGCTGCAGACAGGCATTCACTGAAGTGCTTCACTGTATAATGTCTGCATGTCAGGAAGAAAGTTATTTCCATTAATTCCAAGAATAGTCAAAACTTTTGCCCAAAATGCTCTGGCACTTGTGATCTCCTAAGGTTGTCATGTTAAAACTGAACACTGATTGATACTTTATCCTTACCTTTATAGTTGGATTAAATGATTTTTTTCCTTTAGCACCACCACCATATTGAAATAGAGAGCATTCCTCATTACAGCAGCAATACAAAAGGGAAAACCCTACCTGCCCACCTCTTTGCATTGCAATATGAAACAGATGACTGGGACATCATAGATCCATACGCATTGAGACTTGTATGGTGTACTGGTTATAGACAGTTTAACTCATGTCCACATTCATGTTCATGGCATTTGTTTCTAGGTCAGCCGCCCAGTGACAGAAAAAGCCCAAAACATCCTGAAGATTGAATATGATGAATATTGCCTGACCCTGTCAGCAAGGTACTGTCCCCAAATAGCCATGGCAGGGGGTGTTACATTCTAGAGCTGTATCTCTAGATGAGTCTAACCACTACCCAAGACTTAACTGGTGTCTCATTCTTTTTTAACTCAATTTCAGTCTGTGCTATTGTGACAGACAATGGCTGAGTGCTTGATTACACAATGAAGATATTCATTATAAATGTGAAGCTCATAAACTGTAACTAATTCAACTCATATACCGAGTAAAGATTAGAAGTCGGCTCTCGGTAATATTTTAAAAGAGAAAGAGAAGAAATTCTGTTACTAAGAGGCCTGAGTCCTTTCCATTATCTTTCACACTTTTTCCCTGTGACACTAGGAGTATGTTACATCTCCCTTTTATAAGTTCACTTGTTACCTCATACCACTAGGGTTGCAAAACTGCTGGAGAAAATAGTAATTAGGTAATACCATGCAATAAATATAACAGCATTTAATAGTGCTTAAATGACAAAGACAAAATTAAACCTTACTAGCAACCTCATGGGTCTTTCTAATAAAAGGAATTTCACTAATGAGTTTGTGTAGTGCTAGTACTGATTGTAACTGGGAGTCAGGATCTCTGTCCTGGGATCACAAGCTAATGCCAGAGAAAGATTATAAGTCAGTTTCTGATCAGAAGATAGCAGCGTACTGTATTTTTTCATGCTCCTAGCCCAAAATTATCCTGCAAATTTACCTAGAGCTACAGCAGAAAGGTGGCTGGCTTGATTTTCAGGTGTAGTTTACTACAAAAGACATAGCACACTAGCAGCAGTATTAAAATTAAGTCTTCCAAATAACAAGGTCTTCAGTGCTTTTAAGTACTGACTTTCCCACCATTAGTCTCCAACTACAGCATGGCTGGAAACACAGCAGACTTCCCTAAATTACACAGTGCAACAGAAAGACAGGGAGGGCACTTTCTTATTCAGAATCAGAATTTGGAGCTCTCATCCTTCCCAGAGCACTTGCCATCTATGGATGGTGCTCAGAGACCTGTCAAAGCCTGTTTGTCAATTTCCTTTTATAACCAGCAAATGAGAAAATATCTGAGATTTTCTTAGAGCTGCACACTCATCACAGCCCTCAAAATATACACCCAGTACTTCTGAATTACCTGCTGCCAGTTACAAAAGCAGGATGTGTACAGTCCTTCTGTATTGTAGAGAGGAAATAACTGCTGCATGTCCCCTTTATTCAGGGTAACTGAAGTTGGCATCCCTAGTGAGAAGCTTGGGATGTTCTGCTTGCATTGTTATGTTGTTTCTTTGCCTTTTGTACTCATATCAAGTCTGTGCTTAGTTAGCCTAAACAAAGCATGTGAGGCCACTGTGAGCTATGTTTCTTTGGTAGTAGATAGAACCAGGGCCTGAGACTAAGGTTGCCCTTCTGATAACAGCCAGACGGAGACTGACTCTTATCAGAGCACTGGGATAGAGCCCCTTTCCCTTCCTTGTGCTGCTCATTCTGGGACCGATCTGCCATAAGTCACCCAAGAACATTTTTTCCTCTCCCGTTTTGTGCTGGCTGGCAGAGCTGATGAGACACCAGTGGGACAGCATGCTTTCCTAACGCCACTGCACAACATCTTTGGCTTGCTACACTCACCAAAAGGAGCACCAAAGACAGAAAAGTACCAGAAGGCTTCAAGCATCCCTACAGACTGTATCTTTTACTGCTCACATTGAGGTGCTGCAAGTCTGCACTGAAGGCCAGTTGTTAACAATCACAACCCAAACCTCAATGCCTTTACACTGGTATGAGACAGGATGAATGCACTGAGGAAATACAGCATGAGTGCCAGGGACTGAAGGCAGTAGAATGAGGATGACCAAAGCTCAGAAGTCAGCGGGGCTACATGAGCAGATGGCACTGTAAAGTCTTTACATCTCCTGCTGA